CAAAACTGGGCGAATCGGCAGCCTAACAATAGCGAGAATGGACCAGTTGGGGTGTGGCCAGCGGCAGGTCAAGATTGGGCAGTGAGCGAAGATAGCACGATAGAGTCACAGATGTTATGAACTGAACGAGACGAGTGTGTGAGAAGAGTGTGCGCAGGGAGTTGTCAGACGCGGGGTACTCCCTCTAGGCGATCTTCAAGAATGTCTGGGTGGGGAGGGGGAGCGCCTGCCAAGAAAAGCGGAGTCGTTTGCGCGCGTGATGCGAAACGTCATTGCGAGGGTGTATCCCAGCCCACAGTGGGCGCAGCTACGCTTACCTTACGCTTGGAGCGGCCGAACTGTACGGCCATACGCCTTCATGTTGTAAATCAAAACACAAAGGCGACGCTCACCAAGCGCGGCTCGTTATAAAACCTCCTCCGGCTATGTAGAGAGTGTCAGGAGTGAAATCATTGCTTCACGGTGTGATAACAAAAGTGTAGCATCTGAATTCTCAGACAGTTACAATGACTAGAACTGCACAAGACGTTAGTAACGCAAAGATGTTGCCTTTTCATCAATCTGCCGATAAGAACGTAGTGTAACCTATTACACTACGTTTTGAGGTGGCTGTTATCTGCAATCTTTTAAATATTATTATAAAACGTCCCGGAATAATGTAGTGATTGTATCTAACAAAATATTTCATTCTGAGTAAGACTCGTATACAGTTAGAGGTTTGAAGATTTTAAAGAAAGATGGCGTCTAAAAGGACCATTCAGCATCTTGTCGAAATTTCTTGCGATAGACTTGATGCTCATAAAACAATTTTTTATTTAATATTTTATTAGTTTTACACGCGTAATATCTTGTCATCCATTCAAGTTTTACTGATTCGTCTGCATGCTTTTTCATAAATATTAACATAATGAAAGTTAAAGAAATATTTAAGTATCTCATTAAAATACAATATTTATTCCCAACTACAGAAAAGCGTTGAGGAAGATATATGAGTGATACAAGTTGTTTCCAACATTGTTTTGTTAATTTCTAAGACAGTTATCATTTTACAATGCAAGTAAGAACATATGATAACCGAACATTTGGACATCTAACCAGCCTACTACATACTTCTAAAACATCATCTCTAATGAGGACATTGATGAAATAAAGGTACTTCTATTGTTACATGTAATCTGAAAAATGTTAAAATCCCCAACATGAAATAAAATAAAAAATGAAATAATAAAAATAAAATGAAAGTAACATGCAACAAAAATAAAAATAAAATACAAAAAAAGAATGACAACAGAATAAAATAAACTACAATAAGAATGAAACAAATACAAGAAAAATAACAGAATAAGGAAATACAAAAGCGGGAATCAAAACGGTCCCGAGAGCCTGCACGTTCCACCCGCGTCCTTGCCCCCTCCCCTCGCCCCGGGCTAATGCCTCCGCCTAGGCCTGCGGCGTGCCGAGACTCGCCGCTCGAAATTGAATCCCTTTGAGTGTCACCTTGTTTCGCTCGTGCGCTTTGTTCGTTCTGGTTTCCATTAGAGACTCCAATCAACGCCTCCCCCATTTCCCCGCTTGAATTTCACGCACGTAATATAATAATTCCACCTGAAGATGCCGGCACGAAATATGACGACAGGTTGCCTCTTCTAGGAGAACATTCCGATCATATTGTTACCGCTTTGGAAAATGACTTGAAACTCCTTTCAATACTGCCATTATAAGTGGGGAAGGTGTCTTCAACGATAAAGTGAAGGTGTTACAGTTTTCAGAAAATATCCATTATGTCAAGTAGTAATTTAGTATTTAGACCGTGGTAGAATTTGCAAATTGAAATTTTAATTAAAATTAAATTCGGCAGGCTCTGCAGAGGGAGTAATCATGAAACACATTTATATTGAAATACACATCTTACTAACGATATTCTTTGTTGTAATAATCAAATTATTGTGATTATTTATAAACTATTTCTTTTATTACTTTATAAAATGAGGACACGAAATAATAATTTAAAACGTATTGGTTGCAAAAATACCAAGAATTTATAGTTACCACCCCATCAGATTTTACAATCTTCTGATGACTAGTTTAAAAAATATTTTTAAAAATTCTATAGAAATCAAACGAAATAATTTGATTGATATCACATTATGGTTTATGGCACAATCTCATTTGTTAACTAACATAGAAAGGTGACAGTTTAAATTTGAGTTTTTCGGGTAAGAATTCAAATATTGTCCAACATTAAAACTTCTAAGAATAATGTTACTCAATGAGAAGAAATTTTTATGAAAACCAAAGACGTGTTTGCATGAAAGCAAAGTATTCAACAGTAGTTGCACGGAATCGTAATAACAGCGCTTCGTGCCAGCCAGGAACAGGAACCGCTTCGCGGCGTCTGCGGTGGGCAGCAAAAACAATGTTCTGTCGTCGCAATGAAAAGGCGTCGCCGCTACGAGTGCGCGCGAGGCAACCGCGCTCTTGCGGCTGCGGGGGCGGCGGCGGCGGCGGCGGCGGTGGCGCAACGGAGAAAGCGCGGAGCCCTGCCACTGTGGTTTGCCTGCTTTGCCCGCCCGCCCACTTGTTGGTTCGACCCACTCTATCGCCCGCTCTCGCCCTCTCTATCGCCCGCCCTCGTCCACTCTATCTCTCGCTCTATCACTCGCTTTCGCCCACACTATCACCCGCTCTGCCCCATTCTATCGCCCACTCTATCGCTCGCTCTGGCTCGCTCTATCGCCCGCTCTCGCCCACTCTATCGTCCGCTCTATCGACTGCTCTCACCCACTCTATGGACGCTGTGGCCCACTACATTGCCCGCTCTCGCCTACTCTATCACCCACTCTCGCCCACCCGCCCTTTCACCCACCCGCTCCTCACAGTCCCTGGCACACTTCCCCCGCACACTCCTCGGTATTTCTCGCTCACCCTTTCATTGGATTTCTCATCCCCTTCTGTTTCCCTGTTTGCTGTCTATCCTTTCTGGTTTTTGTGGGCCCTATCGTATGTAATCCCGCGAATAGGTAGGGAATCATCAATGATCGATCCCGGGTCACGTAGGGATCGATGGGCGTGTCAATAAAACGAAAGCGATGAAACGGGAACAATAAAATTCCTCGGTCGCCTCTGACAAAAGATAGAAAGATCTTGCACTTCATTAGCGGAGATTTCATGAGTGGAATAATTAGCATGCAGATTGCATTCCCGTTGCTTGCATTTTTATTCGCTTGCTCACTAGTCTCACGATTTGCCCACCTACACGCTTGCCAATTCGCTCTCACACTCGCCCGGCAACTCGTCCAGCTGCTCGCCAGGCCACCCACACGCCCGCCCGCCATCTCGCCCACTGCACACTCGCCCTTTCGCCTGCTTGCGCGCGCGCCCGTGGCTGGCCCTCATTATCGGATTAACCACGCTCCCGAGAGCCTCTCCAAATCTCAATACTGCGACGGGTTGTGCGCCGGGGACTAATTGAAACCAAGCAGATTGAAGCACGTGCTGCTTGAAAGGTCGAATGAAACCGGAACAGTGCAGACATTACGTTCTCTTATGTTTTGCTGATGGACGCGTTCCGTTGCTTTTATTACTGAAGGCAAAGGGAGAAATAAAACTGTGCAGGGGAAATTAAACGAAACTCTTATTAGCATTTTATGACACTCGAAATGTAAATCCAATTATCTTTTTGTCGAAGCACAACAGTACCACATAATGCCTTACGCTGATAAACGGTGTTGTAATTTGTGTTCTCAAGCTACTGAATACGATACAAAAGTATGTGAAGTGATGGCCTGCACATAGCTCGGCCATCACATATATTTAATAACGAAGATTATAGTTACACAGTCAATTTTCATACTAATAAAAGAAATTACTAAGCCGTATAAGATCTACTAGCGTTTAAACATTGCGACAAAGCATTGAACTCTGGCCTCAGTTTAACAGAGCATTTGCAAACAAGATTTATGCGCCCTACTTTCGGACTGTTAAAAGACAACCGTTCGGAAATTTACTGCTTGTAATTGAAGAATAACCGGCAACCGGAGTGAAGAGGTCGTTCGTATTTTTCGAGGAGGGAGATCTTTATTTCATCTAAAACAATGCACGGAGGAACATTCCAGGGAGAGTTTCACCACAAGCTTTGCCCGGCGGAGTAGGAGCTTTTCCCCGCAGGCTCTGTCCACGGGCAGTTGCGTCACTTAAACAATAACAATCTCGCTGGCTGCGTCCACCCGAGCGGCTGGTCGATACAATTTTGAAATGAAACTGCATCTCTCGTAACAATGCTATTAATAAATGAAGTTAACCATTTCAATTGAAAGACCAGGGTTGAAAAGATATCTAATTAATTGTAATAACTAAAAAGTAACGTACAATCAACTAAGGAATTTACGAAATGCATAATCATATGTATTATATTCCTTTCAATATTTCCAGTTAAATGTAGTTTGCTACTATTTTTAAGTTTTCTTAAGTTTAATATTAACAGTAAATTAATATGGAAAGGGATATTCGTCTGACCTATTAATTGGCGTTAGATGTCCCTTTATGCGTTATTGAACATCGTTAGTTTAGGTTATATTTCATTCAGTGATTTATATTTATTTCAGAGAACACGAATAATCTACTTAATCACACGGCCTACACACGTAGGTGCACACACTACATAACCCCCAAAATAGTATGGATAGACCACCAAATCAGAAAAGCTGCATCGGTGGAGGTTTCTGCGCCAGTGTCGGCGGCAGGTGCGAAGTAAAGCACTGTCCCTGGCAGTGGTCTGCCTCCGGCCGCGGGAGCACCGGGCAGTGGTTCTTTTTGCGGCTGCTGTGAGGAGGCTCGCGCGAGGCGTGGCGGGGGCGGGCTGCGCATGGGAACGAGGCCGCACGAGGTCCGGCTGCAAATGCGTCTGGGCTCCGATCGCAGCTTTGGTTACACTGATCCTCGCATCTAGCGATCGTGTTACACTGGTACGTCCGCGTATGTGTTACCGTTCAGATCTAGTTTTGCATTTTTAAGCTTGTTCCAATCCGCGTCTAAATGAAAGTAGTGAGTCACGTTTTCTTTAAGAAGACAGAAAAATATGTTTGAATAGGCATGTACAAAATAGTTGATTGAGTAGTCGAAAAGAGATAGAAAATGAGACTAACACGTGAATAAAAACATTGATAATTTTTTACCTTGAAACAATCATCGTTATTGTGACCATATTCAGTAGATAATGCAAATTATAAACAATCATTTGCTTCTGAAGAAAACTACGCTTCCAGTGAAAACAGATTTGATAATAAAATGCCATTCCATGTTTATTATTTTTCTTATATGTCAATTATTTCTCTCTAATGGTCGGCTAATAAATGTAGTTTTGAAATCTGAGCTGCAGAATATTCAGTAGTATTTATTTTAATTTTCATTTTGGACAATGCTCCAGACTATAAAGAAAAAGTACCTGTTTGTTTTGAATCTGCATCCCTTAAGGAATGCACTGACTTCCCAAGGCAATTATGGAAATGCAAGCGAGGCAGGCCGTTCGCAGCGCACCCTTTCTCCCCGAGTGCAAAGTCGTTGCTCCTATTGAGCGGCGCGGAGACCTATCAGCGCGCGGCCATCGCGGAGTGACGCGAATCGAAAGCGGAATTCGCAGGCGGAGGCGGAGGCAGAGGCGGAGGCAGAGGCGGAGGCGGAGCGGAGGCGGAGGCGAGGCGAGGCGGAGGCGGAGGCGGAGGCCGAGGCGCGGAGGCGGATGGCGAGGCGGAGGCAGCAGCCGGAAGGCGGAGGCGGGAGCGGAGGCGGAGGCGGGAGGCGGAGGGGCAGCGGAGCAGAGCGGAGGCAGAGGCGGCGAGCCGGAGGCGGGGCGGAGGCGGAGGCGGAGGCAGAGGCGGAGGCAGAGGCGGCAGGCAGAGGCGGAGGCGGAGGCGGAAGGCGGAGGCGGAGGCGGAAGGCGGAGGCAGAGGGCGGAGCGCGGAGGCGGGAGAGCGCGCCGCCCGCAGCGGCCCTAATGTGCGGAAGCGACCGCGGGGGGATACGCGACGCGGCCGATGCCCCGGGGAAGGCGACAGTGCTGATGGACTGTAACCATGCGGTGCATGGCCAGATGGGACGGGGCAATGGGTGGCAAGCCAGTGGCGGCAAGCGAATAGCGACGGGTGGGCGAGAGGGCGCAATGCTCCAACATCATGTGAGGGGAGACAAACACGAGTGGGCGGTAAATGTGAGTGAAGTGCAGCGCGAGTGGTCAGCGATGCTGAGAACGGTGGCAACCGCGAGTGACGGCGGCAATGACAAGTGGGTGGCAATGCGCGCGTAAAAGTGGACGGCCAGTAAGGCGAGTGCACGGCAGGCAAGGGGGTGGCAATGAGAGTGGGCTGCAATGAGAGTGGGCGGCAACGAGAGTGGGCGGTAATGACAAGGAGCGGCAATGAGAGGAGACGGCAACGAGAGTGGGCGGCAACGAGAGTGGGGGGCAATGTGAGTGAACGACAATGAGAGTTGGTGGCAATGAGATTGGCGGCAATGAAAATGGGAACCTATGTTCCCGCAGCTCTCATGGGCACTGGCCATAGGGCCACTATTTTGAAATAATCTGAACCAGACAGATCACCGCGTTCAGCTAGTGCGCGGCCAGCACAAGTCAAACTCTAGGCGGGTCTGTCTCGTCAGAGTTGTCGAGCTCACATTGGGGATGAACTCGGGGGCCACGTATGTACCCCATACTGCCATGGGCAGTGATCATAGGGCCACAGTTCTGAACTGATCTAATCTAGAGGCATCTCCGCGCATTGTGAGTGCGAGGCCGGCACAAGTGAAGCCCAGGGCGCGGCTACGGCACCGGTGCTGTCGGGCTTAGCTTGGGGATGAACTCGGGGGCAACCTACGTACCCTCGACTGTCATTGGCAATGGTTATAGGACGACAATTTTGAACTGATCTAATCTAAAGAGATCTTCGCGTTCTGCAAGTGCGAGGCAGGCACAAGCCAAGCCCTGAGCGCAGCTGCGGCGCGGATGCTGTCGGGCTCACCCACGATGAACTCGGAGGCAACGTATGTACCCCCTACTGCCACGGGCAGTGATCATAGAGCCACAGTTCTGAACTGATCTAATCTAGGGAGATCTCAGCGTAGTGCGTGGCTGGTACACGTCAAGCCTTGGGCGGCAGCGGGGCCGGTGCTGTCGGTCTCACCTTGGGGATGTCGTGGGGCTGCGGCTGCGGGTAGGAAGGGTCGCGCGGCGGCAGCTTGGGCGGTCGGTCGGCGCGGCCGCGGGCCAGCAGGGCTTCCCGCTGCTGCAGCAGCTGCTCGCGCGCCGCCGCCACCACGCCCCCGGCGCCGCCCGAGCTGGCGCCCGACGACCCGGAGCCGCCCGAGCCCCCGGAGCCCGCCACGCTGTACGGGTCCTCGTCCGGCACCGGGATGCGCGGCCGATTGCGGATGTCCAGCGGCGCGCGCTTCACTGCAACGCGAACAGACACACACACACACACGTCAGTGACATGGTACGTACTCAACTTGACAGAGGAGGATGTTGGTGTATACGTGATTGAGATTAATGACCTCTCTATCATGTACATCAACAGGTTTCGATGGGTTAACAACCACAACCAACACCACCACCATCACCACCACCATCATCATCAACATCATCATCAGATCTGGTTGGAAGTCCAGAATGCGACTAGAATCGACCACTTGAAACTTTGATTCCCACACAACAGATCAACAAGATGGAAACGTGCATATAGATGGCTTTGGGCACTTATTATATTGTATGTACAGAATTCATAGATTCGAAATAACCAAACTTTGTAAAGGTGCAATAACTTATGGAGTGACAATTTTCCTTTCTGGGAAACAAACCTGATCCCTCTGATACACCACCTTTGTACTCTCAGTAGATAGCAACGAGGGTCTCCAAAAATAATAACTCAGAAATGACGTGGATTAGACATACAATGTTTGTGCATTAAACCATCGATATGTAGGAATATAGACGTAGATTGAAAGTGAACCAAATTCATTTATTTAAATGTCACTTTTAAAATAAATAAGATAGAATTTTAAATGAGTTTGTCAATGTCCAGAACCAATCATGCAAAGATCGTATATCGTGATATTAAAAATATCATGTTAGTTATTCCAGACGTAATCTTCCGAAGCTGACACATTTGATTTTGTTAAGTAGAGAATCTTTGTCTTTATTTTTGTTTTGTTATGTGATAGAGGTGTTCGAATATTTTATTAATTGCACGTGTCTTAAGTTAGAATACACTGATGTTTCAATTGTTGAGTTATTTCTAAGAGAGTCGAAAAACTGTTACTACTTAGGTTTATTAGGGAAATTAGATTGGAATTTTATTTCTTTGTTAACGAGGTGTCTCTATATTGTTATCACTTCCAATGCTGGAAGAAGAAATTAAACAAAATAAGTTTTCTCGACAGAAACCAAAGGTCTCACCAATTTTGATCGCAGTTCATAGAATCAGAGATAGTTCTAGGACAATTATCTGTTGAAACCTGCATTGCTTGACCTGAAATATTGCGCCATCGCCAAGGAGTATGGAGAATCCTGTGACCAGATGCCCAAGACGTTCAGGAAGCTAAGCGAGGATNNNGCGTGGGGAGGTCGGAAAGGGAAACCGTGGGACGCGACGCCGCAACACAAGGAGCGAAAGCGCGCCGCTTTAGGGAACAAACCGGCGCGACAGAGCGGGCGCGTGGGTGGTAGTGTCTGAGGTTCTGCGGCCAGGAACCACACACATATACACTCACGTTTCTGTGATGCCTGCCAGGGCTGGGTTTGGATAATGTGCGTCTCTCAAGCATAAAATCGTGTTCTGGTTCCTCTCCAGAAAAATCCTCTTATTATCTCAAGAAATTAACTCAAGAAGATTTCAAAAATAAACCCAAGAAATTAAATATTTAAAAAATACAAACTATTTGGTGTAGGTTTTTTCGGGTGTACGGGGCCCCTTATGGATGGAAACCGTTAATCAACTTATTTTGATTGTAGGTAAATCCAGTTCTGATGTAAAAATGTAAGTTTTTTAGACATACTTGGAATGGATGAATGAATTGACGGATCTGTGATTACAATGATGTTATACGATCTACGATCTATACGAACAATGATGGAATAAGAGGTAGGAAAACAGAATAACCGCAAGAAAACCTCCACAAATTATACCCGCTTTGACCCGCATTGACCTCCACAAATTCCACTAGGATCGAGTGAGATTTTACGGTTGATCCTAGCGATGGAACGTGAGGGTTCCGACCGCCAACCAATGGTTGCCTAAACAGACGGAAATAGTCGAATTTAATTAATATTTTCGGAGTGCCTGTCTGGTCGCAAATGGAGTCCTCGGAACGTCAAGATGGGCAATTAGCGAGTAGGAGAAGGGGGTGTAATCACGTAACTGAAGGAAATACGTGAAACTGTTTAGTACTAGAGTTATTAGCCCTTCAGGGCAATGAACAATTTTGTAATATTTTATATGAATTAATTTGTCCAAGATAGTGTGGTATATTTTTTTAAATATATAAATGTATTTCTCTTTGGTGAGAAATATCATCTAGAGTATTAATCTGAGAAAATGTTAAAATAAATGGAACTTCTTTTAAATACGGTTCAACAGAGAGTAGTTAAGTGGTATCACTTATAGTATTAATCTTTCTTGTGAAGCCAGACAATAGGTAGATTGTGAAAATGTCATGTATTAGTTTGAGAGAGACAGCTTAATTTGCAGCAGGCAAATGCCTTTGTGAATGTCTTTCATATGTGAGATACGAGGCTACAAGATAATGAATGTGAGGACGAAACGTTTCATATTTGCGATTATAGAGCGAATTCATTACTAACAGTGTGACTCGTAAATGAGAAATTGGACCCTGCTGTGAAGGAATTTGATAAATTACGGCCCATAATACGATCAATAATGAGGTGGCAACCAATCACATAAATAAAGCAATTGCGATCCATTCTCTGACCGCGCCAGAAGCAACCCTGGTAATTTGGAAACGCAATTTGCATGCCATTATAAGTTAAATGCCCAACTAAGAATTACTCCCAACAACATAATTTTTAAAACAGCAACTGCATCATTCATCACTTTTAAAACGGATTTTACTTTTTGCAAGAAAACTGTTTACAAGCACATCTGAAGCACTCGCTAGATGTCGAACCTCGCACTACAACAAGAACAAACTAACCTTAAGCGAATCTTTTTTTATATGACGTGTGAGAACAAAGCAAGTAGAGCATGATCGCACAGGAAGTAAGAAAGATCAACAACGTAACCCTAGATGTACAATCGTTTCTCCAATAGCTAAACGTGATAGTATTTATAATAATTAACACTGAATCCGAAGCACACAAGCTGTGTTTGGCAACTCAAACACAACATTGTCTTAACTATTATTATTAATAAACACGGTTTCTCTACCACAACAACTTCAATTTATACATAAGCACGTTGTGATACACTTCCCAACGCTTGTCAGTCGCGTCGTGTTGAACCGCACCCTCCTTGGAACGGGCGATTCTGGGCAGAGTACATGGGAACTATTATTTCTCCCAGCTCACAGGGCACACGTGAACGGCTGCGCGTTCGGCGGTCGGTCGCAAACACGAGCTAATTCGCCGGCCGTCGCGCGCGCAGAGTTGTTGAGCTGTTCATCTCGGGCGCGAATGGCGGAGAGCAGCGGAGGCGCGGCCCCGGGCGCAGGAAGTAGGCGGAACCCAAGTAGGCTGGCCTTCGCCCCGCGCGCTCGCAGCTTCCCTATGTACTTCGCTCTTCTTTGCTTTACTTTGCTTTGCTTTGCTTCGGCGAGCCACCGTGAAGATGCACAGAGGATGGCTTTTATTTTGGGGAGGTGGTGTTTTAAGGCGGGTTAGGCTCCTGGATGCATCGTGAGATTTACTCGAAAAAGTTTGAATAAATCATTTCTAAGCACCATCGCCTCATTAAGATGGTACAAAAATGGCGTATTTAGAACGCAGTTGACAGTAAAATAAGTGATATTTGAAGTTATTTTTATAAAACGTTGATGATATAGAAGTATATTTTGAAATGCCCTCACACTTTCAGTATTATTACTCATTACAACAACATTATATAAATATTATTCATATTTATGTAACTATGAAAGCTATCTTAATGGTTATGTAACGGTGAATTTAAATTGTCTAGCATTCAGTAATCAGAACATTAAAGATGAATACATTGTTCTAACAATATTCTTCAGTAACTTCATCTTAAATGCATACAGTTCATACGTTTAATTTCGTTTTAAGCTATTTCTTCATTCCACAACCTACTGCAATTCCAAGGTAAAACAGACGTGAAACTATTTAGTACGTTCGTACATCACTACGATGTGAAAGTTAAGGTATAGTTATACATAAAGAGCGTTTATCTGTAGGCAGGAAAGCATCCCCATGACGTTTCCTTCGCAAATTATGCAGCAATGCCCGAAAGAACGTAATCAACGCCTGTCAACGCCTCGGACGCCTCGACTCGATCTTGAACCTCGTGATCGCCCAACCCGAACGTCATAAATAGGCGGTTGCCCCACGAGCGCTTTGCGAAACGAAACGCGCGGCTATGCGACGCCGCCCCGCCCCTGCTCTCTTCACCCTGCCGCACTCTCTTCAGATCCGTCTCACCCTTCTCGTCTCCTCGCCCTGCTCGTCTTTCTCCGCTTCTCCTCAACAGATACCTCCTCATTACTCCTCTCCATGTTTCCTCCCGCTCCGTCCCGCCATGCCACATCCTTTCTCTCCCCACCTCGGTCTGTATCGCTGGCAACGCCTCATTCCACTGGACCTAAATCCGTCCCCTCCCAATCCGTGCCGTACTGTACCAGCCCTCGGTCCTATCCCGCCTGCTATCGCTTCCTCGATTTCTTCTCCCCGTCTGGGCCTTTTCACCAAGCCTTTCCACTTCCCGTCTGGTCGCGTAGCATCCCTTCCTAATCCCACACGACCTTCACATTTCATTCCACATAACTTTACCCTCCTCGTCTGTTTCCTTCTCGCTCTGTTTTCCCCCTCGCAGTCTGGTTCCCTCCCGTCCCACTTTTTTCTTCCCATGTGTTTCGGTCACATATCATCCAGCCGTGACCCTTTTCACAGGCTCTTTCCACCCAATTCTAGCCGTCAACTGCTTCACCCGCCCACCCGCCTGCTGACAGGGCGACCATCTCTTCCGCTTCCTGAGCGTCATTTGCGTGGCGCGTTATGGACGCCAGTCACGCCTCGCCCACGCGTCTCCGCACGACGCACCACGCAATCCAGCGCCCCGCCCCTCCCCGCCATGCCGCGCCACGCCGCGCTGCGCGACGCTATCTGCCGGCCATCGCACCGCGACCGCACCGCGGGCGGGGCAAGGGGTCTCGCTTATCGCGGGCACCGGCAGTGCCTCCACTTTGTCCTCAAAGCAATTATCGTTAAGAAGCCGCCGACTACATCCGGAAAACGCAAGAGGCAGTAGAGGATTCTCGGCGCTGAGGAGTGGAAACGCGCTCCCTGAAGATGCTCCCCGTTATGCGGTGCTTGTTGCAGTACGAGTGGAGCGTTGCAGTTTGTGGGGATGTTACAGGATATCTGGAGACATTGCGTCAGGAGCATGGAAGTGTATAGCTACATACGCTCGTGGGTCATGCAATTATTACTATTTTGTATGTCGTCTCGATATTTTCTTGTCATTGTACGTGAGTGTTCAAAAGTCATGGAATGTTGCGACATAATTTGACGTTTGAAGGTAAAGGGTACATTTCCTGATTTAAACATAGTGATTCCACAAGATCGGGAGCTGAAAACAGAAGGGGACACTGCTATACAATCGGGAGCTTCAATATAAAAAAAACTCCTTCTCTTCCTCTTTATCGTCTTCTTCCTCCTTCCTCATTCTATGTTTAATTCTTTCCTCCCCCAACTTCTACGTCTGGCTCATTTAGAGTACTTGGCAGAGGGAGTTGAGGTATTCCTTTCTAAGTCGTACCGAAGTTCCCAATTGGATAACAGTATCCCTCTCTCCTTCCACCTTCCCAACTTGAAAATTTCACTAAATTTAAAAGGGACAATAGAAAAAAACCGTCAAGATCTGTGGCAAAGAACCAAGCCTCAGGAAGAATTTTCACAAAAATCAGAGACATAAAGGAATCCTACGGTTTCCTGAGAATTCTGAGCGTCTCTTGAATAATACAGACGTATCCTTCCCGAGTCGGCGTTTCGCAATGGACGGGGTGGCGCGGATGCGCCGTGTATGGTCTGCTCGGAGGTCGCCAGAGCGCGCCAGAGCGTCTGAAGCGTCGCGCTTCGCAGGCGGGGAGAATCCGCCACCCGGAGCTTGGCATGGAAATGCGCGTCGGGGGGCGTGGCCCGCGCAGTCACGAGCCGCGCCGCGGCCACTCAATCACGACCGCTGTTGTAACCCCCGGCGGCAGCGCACACCTTCCGCACACACTGGCACACTGCTGATCTCTGCCACTCCCAGCGTCTAATTCCTCACCTACTCACTACTCGACCAAGCCTCCGATATTTTAGCTTATCGTACTTGCCGACTCCACTGCTCTACATTTTACTATTTTTCGTTTTCTGGTCGAATCTACACCTGCCCTTCCCACCAACCCTGACAGCCTGATCAGTGAGGCAAACGCACCTTAGCAGTGGTTGATCAAGAGGTCCACCACAGGTGAATTCCACCACAGAGATGGATGATTGCTTTGGATATCAGAGAATAGTTGGTGCTCTCCCAAACCACCGAGAATGCCTAACAAGATAACAATTCCGCCCCTTTCCTCCCCCTGTGTGTGCGGAGGAATACGACTGCCAGCGGTTTGGCGGAGGATGCACAGTCGACGCATTTCGTCATTGAGAATGCAGCGTCAATGTGCGCCATCTGTCCACCATCATTATTCCCTAACTATAAAAAAGGGCCCAAACTTTTCTACAGTCTTGTGGACTGCAATGGCAAATGGGTACCGGCCGCAAGGAGCCTAAGTGCATTGCACGCGAGGGGATGGAATGGAAGAGGATGGAATGGTTCAGGGTGAAAAATAGCTGATTTTGAATGGCTGAAAGAAAGGGACTTTAGTGTGTCAGAGGATAACCGATTTCAAAACAAGCTCAATGATGGTGAATGATGAATTAATACTTTCTGTTCCTTCATTCTTTTGCAGTTACGCTTCCATCTTTGAGCGCTATGTACATTCTGACTCCTATTCCACCGCCGTCGCTCTCCCTTCCAATCTTGAATTCAGAAATACCATCTCTGCATTCTCCACCTCTTTCTCAGCTGCCGCCAAGTCACTTCTTTGAGATCTTTCCCTTCCTCGACGTTGTAACTTGGAAGAGCGTGTGTCCATCTCCCTCACATTCATCAGCCTCACGATTCTTCCACAGCCTTGACTTCCGTAGACATTGACATCACCACCATCTGCATATTCCAGACTGTTCTACCAGCTCTCCCTATATGCGTTACCGCCATTGCCGGAGGGCGGAGTTCTGCGCAACCAGCAACTGCCCTCATGGCGGTGGCCATCGCCATCAGTCACGCGTCATCGCCCTGCCTCACCCTCAACACTCGGCCTCAGAATTCTCCGCGGGGCTAGAGGATATCAAATGAATTTTCGCACTTGAGAGTAAGTGCCGCTGAAATCCTGCTGGTTTACACATATGCATGAAAAGCGTGGGCATCAAGATTTCTTGTGTTGAGAAGGGGAGAAACACAATTGCGATGACTGAACTATAAATAGGTAATGTGTTACCCGAATGTAATGTGTGTAAAATATTGTTACCCGAATTCTAGCTCCGGTCCAAATTCTTCTACGTTTTGCATAAAATATTATTATCCCATTTTTGTCTCGTTAATTACGATAATGTACGTTTCTAGCAGGCGCAAACGACTACATTGTATTAGATGTCTTGAATGACGTCTTATTTATTTAACCTATACCACGTATGCTCACTCATGAGAAGGGAGAAATCGAAAACACAATCTTTGAATCTAACAAAATTAAAATACTTTAGTTCTATTATAGGAGTCATTTGAAAAAGATGCCAGTTTACATTATGTAAGGAATAAAGTATTATGTCCGAGAATAACTTATGAATATTTTCTGGGCATTTGTTTAGGCTCTACATCCAACGGGGGACAATATAGTGAATATTTTGTTTGCAACTGATGCGTTCACGGATAATCCTAAGAGATGCCTATTATGCGAAGTCTGTTGCAATTACATACATTTTATCCTTTAAAGAGCATTCTGAATAGAATTGATCATACCATTGTTCTTAATGTAAGTACCTAGTCTAATGTTTCGCGAGTCATTTTCATCTCTTAGCATAAAAACAGGGACTTATTGGTGAATCATTTGCACATAATTGCAGCGGGACCTCGGGAAATAAGTGAAAGAAGCATTCTTCAATTGGTTCTACCAAGGCACAATACTACCGTGCACTATCGAATTGGATGGACCCAACGAAGATTGTCACGGCGTACGAGACGAACGCAAACCAAAGCGCGAATGTTCACGAATCCTGAGGGAGCATCGACATGGGGTACAGTGGGTCAAATTAATATCAAATGCGTGCATAGTTTGGAATATCAATACTAAACAGAAAAGTTTAATATGTAAATAAAAATGAAATTACGTACACAAAAAATTCCTTCTTAATATTTTCGAGTGAGAAGGCTTCTGTTAACTTTCAAAATGTCAATGGATCAACGGATTGATTTTTTGGCCGCTGATGACTAACGTCAATTGTAGCAACCTATTTTGCATTTGTTCTCAGAAGCAGTCTCATTAAAAGACGTTTCGTCGTTAATTCAAAGCTTTTTCGTAGTGTTTCCTTATAAAGCGAGTCATAGTTACTAGTCCGTTCCAGTCTATTCGAATCTTACATCCGACACTAACACACCTGGAATTTCCGCGAATTCAAAATCACTAGAACGCGCACCCCTAATTTTTCTAGTGAACCCGATGGCTTTCATCAGCTTGCTGGGGCTATATTGTTCACTTTACTCCGGTTTCCTCGTTTTCATAGAAATTCCAAAAAGTCACGGTCCCTATATAGAAATGTTTCTTTATTGTATGCATCTTCAGGTCGTATGCGCGTTTGTTTAAGTTTTTTCTTGACATTATCGTTCTAGCTGTCATTTGTTTTAAGCTTCGAAGAAAACGTTATAATATCGTCGTTGCACAAAAAAAGACATCTAAAAAATAATAACTTTTTAGTTAAATGAAAAACCTTTTTAGAACATTTCCTATT